GCCGATTTACTAACATCAACCCGTTTAGGGCAATGAATTTTTTGATCACTGAAACGTAAGGTAAGATTAGCGCAAATAAGAGCATGATCAGAGTCCAGATAGGTACTCTAAAAGGAGCGGCAGTTTTGTTCACAGCCACACCGGCTGCAGTTCATCGCGATGTGACCAATCTGAGTCCAGTTTTGAGATGCAGAGAAAGGAATTCAGTTCCCACCTCGAGGACGACAGTGCCGAAAGTTAGTGTGAGCCAGAAACAGGTGGTCTGCAAAAAGTTGTAGTAGACAGTCACCGTTATCTGACCTGAGACCAACAATTCCCCTTCGGCCACCTACACGACTCTCTTCTGAGCTCAAACGCCAGATCTGTGCATTCAAATATCCATCTAGTACTACAATATCTGTCGAACGCATTTTCTGTAGAACACTTAACTGGTGGTAGGACCTGTCTTCAATCGCATCCGGGCTTCAATTTGTCGGGGCGTAGGCTGAGATGACGAAGACATCATTTCTCGCGTCGATTTCTCTACACTTTGATGGAGCTTTCTAGTCTAACAGCACATACGCGATTGTTAGTAGGGGTTCAATCGATCAGTGCTGCCGTAACCCTAGCTCTTAGTGCGACACCAACGCCAGCAAGACCAGACGATGCCACAGGGTCCCCGGACAAACGCACGTAAAACAAGCTTTTTGAAGAGACAGATGGAAAGTGAATTTGTAGTACTTCACCAGAGTCTTGAATACGGGTCTCAGATAGACAACAAATATCGATATAAAGACTTTCTAAAGACATAGCCAACCCTGTCCGTTGCCCGACCTTTATTAGTGTACGAACGTTGAAGGGAGTCTTTTTAAATGGTATACGTGGTTTCAGAAAGACTTTCAGTATTCGTATTCGATGATGGCATTCAACCTTCAACCAGACAATGACTTGAGATCGTTTAGATAAGACAGGGTTTCCATCATATGCGAGCTGCTGCATAAGCTAGAAAATAAGAATACAGAGCGAGAATAAAAGAGATTAGATAAGCAATTGTAGTGAACGAGAACACAAGTGGGGACAATCGAATGTATTTAAATATAAAATTACAGAACATCTTGGTAAAATCCGAGAACCATACAGTAAATACTTCATTTGCAGAATGTCACTTAATCGACTCTGACTTCATTGTTTGTTCGCTTCCACAGCAATCACCCTTTGTTCTCGTCCTCTTTCCTTCGATCTTCTCAACCTTCTGCCTCCAGATATTTCACTTTCGGCTGATGATACATACTACTTATGTCTGTCAACTTCAGTAGCACACAACACAACGTAGTATATACAAAAATAAATATGAATGTTATCAAATGAATGTAAATTGTCTGAATTTCAATCAAAGTAAAAATATTATTTCCAATAGTAACTGTCATTTCATTTGATTTGTGTGTGGGCTGTGATACTGCCCGGGTGCCCAGACCGAAGTAGGTGGTTTTCGTAAGGGCCACACCCGGAGCCTTCGACCTAAAGGTCTGATCCACAAAGCAGTGGAGCATCGTGAGATGCAATCCCATGGTAGCCGGTAATCAACGATAGGTTCATACGTCATTTGTTCCCTCAGGATCCTGTAGCCAATGTGCACCATTGATTTGGAATCAGGGTTTTTTAACTCCCCTAGGTGGATCCTCCATATCCACCAACCCGGTTATGGTATCGACCAATCGCTTTTCGTCCTGTTAATTTCGTAGACCACACCACCGCCGCGAGTACGACTTCCCTGGTAGTGGCTATATACACGTAGCCATGTGAGAGCATTTCGAGAGGGAGAAACGACTCTTCCCACCCTCAACACCATCAGGGAAATCGGGGCTAGATTGTTTGGACTTTATTAATCATGGCTTCTCGTTGTTATTTATTGAAGGGATTATTATTACTTGTTAGTGATTGCGCAATAACGTCAATATATTCAACAATACGAATTAGAATTCAAAGAAATGAAGGAATTCAAAATAATAGCTTCTTCATGATTTATTCAGAAACTATATAAGACCATTAATATTTTGTTTCTTTTCAGTATTGAAAACCAGTTATCATATGTTGAAAACTAAGTATAGCGAAATGATTTTCTTAGTTTTATTTCAGATTTTATTCGACAGTATACAGTTATGGGGATTAGTGCATTGGACTGAAATCATGAACTGATCTATGTTAAACCACTACAATTTGTATTTGAATGTTGAAAGCATGAATGTGTATTCCTTTATTATTTACTTTTGTCATATACTGTGTTAATGTAACGACACAACAGAATGTATATCTATGTCAGCTTGTACATTAATTAGTCGATTACTTGAAAGGCAAGGTAAAATCATAGTTTGTTTTTTGAATGCTTAATTTTAATGAGTTAATAGTTAATGAATATCAAATGACATGTACTAATATATGTTCCCAGAATTTTATTCTCCTGACTGAAGAGTTCTTGTATTGCGATCGAAATGAAAACTTCGAATCCCTAGTATTTTGAATGAAGATATTTTATCATCCATGAAAAATAAACTTCCAATTATAAAGATGACTAACGTAAGTTAAGTTATGGGTTTTCTCCTCATTGTTATATCTAGTCCCATTCCCGTCGCCAGTTGTTATACCTAGAACTTAGATTCTTTGATATATCACGTACAATTTAAGCACTCGAAAGCTAGAACCCTCCAAGTCCCAAATGAGAAGACAGAAGTTTAGTGAGAAGGAATGCTATTCCAAACAGTTCACTTATGGCATAAAACTCTCACGCATTTATAGTTTTTAGTAAAAGCGAAATCATCATTATAGTCATCCAATCCGCATACAAAGGGTCATTAGCGTTTGTCCAATAAGGAATCTACATGTAGAGATGCTGGAACATTCTTCTAAAAGATGATTGAATGGAATACCTTCGGCTCTGAGCTTCCTCGAGTTCACCCGTGGGTCGTCCTCACACTCATATTTTAACATAAAATACGGTATGTCTAAGTGTATTTAGATTTATCTCTAAAACCATGTGCCAAATACTGAATATAAATTTCTTCATTCCACTTAGTGGATCGAAGTCAAACTTTGATATCATCATTTAATAATAGTATTGAACTGATTTAAAATGAAGTACACTAGACAGGATTTGAACCTATGATTGAGCGGTAATGTGATTGCTTTATTCTATAGAGGAGTACTTGAGAATCAGTTGACAAATAGAAAATTGGCATAAGTTGAGTATAATTTCTATTATCAACATGCATTTTTTAATTTTATTTTAACACATAGATACTGGTACAAGGAAGCACCAAATACATATGCGCCACACAAATCTTATTCGATATGTGTGAGGGCTGTGATATTGCCCGGGTGCCCAAACAGAAGCAGGTGGTTTTCTTAGGGAGCCACTCCCCGAGCCTTCGACCTGAAGGTCTAATCCACAAGGCAGTCCCATGAAAGCCGGTGACCAACAATTGGTTCATACGCCATTTGTTCCCGTAGGATACTGGAGCCAATGTGCACCATTGGTTTGGAATCCGGTTAAAGCACCGGACATTCGCTTTTTGTCCTCTCATTTTTGTAAACAACACCGCCCACCACGAGAAGGCAGTGAGTAGGACTTCTCTGGCAGAGGCTATATACGCGTGGCCATGTGAGAGCATTTTGAGAGGGAGAGCGGACTCTCCCCACTCTCGGCAGTACTAGGACATTTGGGGGCAACATGGATACAGGGTACTGTAAGCTGCTGACTTTAACTGTTGGTCACGCCCGTGAGTTGAGTGAAGTTGCGGCCTCATTAATATATATCATTACATTTAACTAAGTTGGGATAATTCGTAGTAATCATCCAGTCCATAGCTAAAGTGTACATGACATTGAGCCACCACTATGAATCTTACCTTTTTTCAATTATTTTAAATTCGATAATTCATAAAGAAATTAGTTTGAGAAATACCTGTTCAAAATTTAATTATGTCCTCTGTATTATGATAGATAGGAATGAAATATTACTACTGATTTCTTCAGTTTTGTATATGAACAATCATTTGTTATATGTGAAGTCAAATTACTTTAATTCCTTAATACAAATATATAAATTCAACATGGGATGACCAAACTAAAACATCGAACCAATCCATGAATCTATTAATTTTTGAACTGAGCCATACGGTAGACTATTATATTTTGCATGATTTCCATAACCAACGGTTAAAGACGTTATGCGATATGATTCAGAATCAGTTGTAATAGCGTAAATGCATCCACCCATTAGTATCCGTTAGATTGTGAGTTTCAAAATGATTCTATACCTTTTACTCTACAAATCCATTCTTCCGCAAATTATACTGTCTATGCTTAGTGTTTTTTGTTGACGCTGATACTGCTTCAGCTTCAATCATTCTATGCTCATATGGTGTGGTCACGTGAACCGACGCAGAAATGGTAGGTTCCAAGTTGCTTATGAAAAACGAAATGATCAAAACATTCAACTGGTCGATTAATGGTTATATCTCTTGAAATTTGTTCAATATCTCGGATTTGAATGATCGATTTTGTGGCACAATTAACATTAAATCCATCTAAGTTATTTCAAAATTGTCCATTATAGTCAACCAAACTGTCATAACATTCTGTAGGAAAATAAGTTGATCAACTGATCTTATTATTCGATAATCATAAAAAAAAAAACGTATTCAATTGGAGATATGGATAGGTAAATCTTTCACCTATATTAAATTCAATTCGCTTTCATATGTGTGAGAATAATCTTCAATAAAAGTACGATATCTAGCAATTAAGAGCATTTAACGAGTCAGTATTGCATATAACAGTATCTCTCCAATTGAAACTTCATATTAATTATCTAAAGCTAACCATATCTCTCATCTATGAATAAGTCATTGTAGCTTATCCAAACTTACCGGATGGGAAAAAAAATTACCAAAAATAGAATAGTAAAAAAATTACAATTTGATATGAAATCCACTCACCCCACCTTCCACCCACTGAAAAGTATGTTTTTTACATGTAGCATTTATTCATTAAATAAATGAGAAAAATGCCTAGATATTGAGTAATATCTTAAATAATGAGAAGCAGATACGAATTTCACTACAAATTCATGGACATATATCCTATCACCCCTCTCTGAATTGTGTACTCTTTCTTTCTTTCCTTCTTTTGAAAGAAGAAAAGAAGAAAAGCTAAACAATTCACCTTACATGAATAAAAAGAATAAAATAAAACAACAAAATTAATACAATCTATTCATCACAAAACAATTTCTAAACAAAAAAAAGGGGGGGAAAGATGAAAGTCATAAAGGTTAAAATGAATGAAATTATTTGATCTAAATATTAACAATACAAATGAATAACAATCTATGAAATGTTTATAAATTAAACCAGTAATATTTATGGAATTATCTCTTTCATTTATATAAAATAAGGCAGAGATATAGATAGATAGACCTAGAGTCATTATATATTCAACGAAACAATGTTGCACAGTTCAACTGTTTGGGTACCACAACAACAAAAAAAAGAAATACAAGATCAAATGATATCATTAAACATGTTGGATTTACACATTGTACACAATTTCATGGAAGGTGATAGATTGAAAGTGTAGACTGAAAAGGTATAAGAGGAAGTTCGTGTGTACGCTAGAAACACGATGCATAGTCGACATATATATATATATATATATATATATATAGAGAGAGAGAGAGAGAGAGAGGGAAGGGGGAGGGGGGGAGGGAGGGAACACAGCATCAATGATACAGATAGAATTACAGAAAAAAAAGGAATATAGGGATAAAAGAAAACAATCAGAGTATCAAGAAAGAATGAACGAAACACATCCAGACAAAGAAAAAATATATATTTCATTATAACTCTTTACTTAATTGTCTATAATGATCCACTTCACAACAGTTAAACAAACTACAGCATAACAAACAAACTCATTATTATACATAGTGAGTAGATTGGATGAAAGACAGATTGATATTTATTCATTTATGAATTAATGAGAACGAAATGAAGTAATAAACACGATTACTTATTTGGAATTCCAGTAGGGTTTTTTTCCCATTTCTCTGTGTATTATTACGACATATATGCCATTGTCTTTTGTGTACTTACATACATACGGGATATGTATGAAACTTTATGTGTATCTATGCATGTTTGTGTGTGTGTGTGTTTGTAACTATAAAACGATAAGTTACCAAAAAAAACAGAATAGTGTGATTATGCAACATATTAATATGAGTAATCGATAGTAAAGAGAGGTATTTCAATATGTGTTTCACCTTCCACTTCATTCATATATTCTTTTATTATAATGATAATAAATTACAAAAAGAAAAAGAGGGAAAATCAAGCAAAAAATACAACAAATATTACAAAAAATATAATTAAAACAAAGAATACTTTAATCATAAGCCATCGACTTGAACTAATTGAACGAAAATAACGGAGTAATTCTGAATGACCAGCTTCAATTGAAACTGTTGCATCATCAACATTAGCATCAATACGACGAATTGATTCATCTTGTTCATGTACCTGCACACACATATATATACACATCCGTATAAGTTTAGTTTAAAATTGTAGGATAAGTATAAGTAAAACAAAACTGAAGATGGTAAAATTGAATATTGAAAAGAAAAACCCTAGTAGAAATATTAGATAGTTATTCACCATAGGCGGTGGGAGATGATCGCGTAATATTGTGAATTTATTGAAATTAAACACGAAAACTATTGAATGATAGCTTATTGATCTAAAGGTTAGGCTCTTACAGAGAAACCTGAATTCTCTAGTGTTGGGGAGATCCAGAAAACTCCTCGAAAAAAAGCCAAGAAATGCTCTGAAAATACTGAAAAGCATCTTATCCAATCAGCGTTCACTAGACGTTTGGCCAGAAACATCAAGAAAGTGAAAATTCACATGTAGAGTTTCTGATTGGTTGATTACTATACTGCCACTATGTTTAGTAGCATTCCAGAATTTTCGGGAACCCAAGGACATCTGAAATACTATAAAAAACCTATAAGTTCAGTACTAAAACAAACCTTTGGAGTAAAGTGTTCATTACATATTTCAGGCCTTTTCTCTCGTGTTCAAGTCGCTGTGTAGATCTAGCCTGGGGGTTACCAGAAGAGCTTAGGAATCATATCTAGCGTTTAATTAGCTAGACTTATCACCTAGATCCCATTCCCGGTGGGGGAGAAGCTGGGAACTGCTAAGTAGTTTTAGACTACGAATAAACAGCTGTTTAGTGTTTTCTGGTTTTCAATGGACATTTAATTAAGATGTAATCCATGAAAATCCAACAATCGCTACAAACTCCTATGGCAATATTTTAAGAGTGTGTTTTATAACATTCGGCTGTTTAGTCACGTAACATACTTGGGCTCAATCATCTGACTAACGATCAAGTAACAGATCACATAAGCAAAAGAGTATATTATGATGAAGTACAAAAAGGAGCAGAGATATATATTACAAAATTGATATGTCGGGTAGTAGATAAGTCTGTTTGCAACCATTAGTTCATCGTAGCTTGTTTTCACAGAACACATCAGAATGGTTATTCATATTAATGCAGATTTGAGGTAAAAAAATAATAACAGAATAATGATAAGAGAATAGTACATTGAAGAGCTTCAAATAACTAAGATGAACTTTTAGCTAATTCTTAGTCAATTAGAAGACAACTTTGTAAATGGATAGTTTATGGGAAAGAAAGCAATAATATTTCAAAATGAGAGCAAATTTTACATAATTTAAGAGTCTATTGTCTGTCTGTCTGTCGAGATATCATATAAATTCGTCGATATGAATGTACAATATCTATCTTCTTGAACAATTATAGAGAAAAAATTCTTTAGGAGTCCCCACAGTTTTTGGCCTATAAATTAGTGTTAGAATTTAAGATTAGGAGATAGGGTTAGAGTGCTCATCACAAACTAACACCAATTAAAATTCGTGAATACTTTGTCGCTATATAGATTAAAGTGTTTGGGTCAGAATTGACGGTTTATAGTTAGGATTTAGGAACAATCACATTTAATCTATGACAATAAATGCAGAATTCCGTTATCATTTTAAAGGTTTTCAACACTTTACCAACGAATTTGTACAGTTCGCTTTAATTGAACTAGGGCAAAAGTCATTCATTTACCAGTTTCGCATGAAAAAAACACCTAACAGTCAAACCAGCCAACATCAAATTCATAATCTTCAGTACGAGTGTCAAGATAGTTAGTTCTATCGTATGAAACTGAAACTTTGAGAACTACTGCAACTACCATTAAAAAAGTACACATATTTATAAACACTTGTCTACGCAATAAACTCAATGTCTATTGACCGGATACCATCAGCAACAGCCTACTGTGGGAGAGAGCAAACCAACTTCCAGTTGAGGAGGAAATAAGGAAAAGACGTTGGAAGTGGATAGAACATACATTACGGAAGTCATCAAAATAACTTATAATCCTGAAGGGAAGCGGAAAAGAGGAAGGCCAAACAACACACTGCACCGAGAATTGAAAGCATACAAGAAAATGCTGAATAGCATCTGGAAAAAACTGTCCAAGACAGGGTTGGATGGAGAGTGTTGGCGCGCGGTCTGTGCTCCTCCATGAGGGGTAACAGACATAAGTGATGTGCTTACATAATTGACAAACAATCAGTATGTGGAAAAAGTTACCAACCAACGAGTGACACTAGATGATTGTGTAATGTCGTGAATATGTGAAATATTATGTGCCACTCACCGCGAGACCTAAATGTCCTGGGTTCCAAACCCGACGGGAGTGAAGCTTGACAGTCTTAGGTGGTTTCACAGTCGGATGAGATAGCTATCCAATACTTCGTGACTTTCAGTGATTTTATAATTAGGGACAATTGATGTTGTAAACTATTAAAAAAAAAGCTTGTTGACCAATTGAAGTACCAAATGATAGTTTTTAGTTATAATCTGGTTGTCATCTATAAAAACAAATACATTGCTATAGCGAATTTAGGTACTTCCTTTACATGATATTATTGATTAATTTATCAATAATGTCAATAAGACACGAACAAAAAACAACAACAACCAAATTCGATCTTTTCATTCTCTTGTTATTATCTATTCATTCACATATGTATAAACAACAAAGCAGAGTTTACTTGAAAATACTTTTAAGTAGTATGAACTTCAATGGTATAATTAGAATGAATACAAAAAAAGGACAAATCAATTTTTAAGTCTCCTGATACATAATCAATCTAAAAGATATTTATATTTCTGTCCATCCAATTTGATAAGAAATAATAATTATAAATTGGTCGAAGAGTTTTGTGGAGATAAGTTCAATTGTGAATTGTTATGAATTAGTCATGTGAACTACATTGGATTCAACAAGTTCGGTGAAATCTATAGGTCTTGTGGTTTGATGTCTGGTTAGATCGTGATTACAGACTGGCATAAACTACTACACTAGGATAAAATAGTTATTTCCTACTAAATCCCGGGTTTTTAATGATACCCCGAGAGATGTCAATCCGTGATGAATATCATTTATAAAAGTAATTGATTCTATAATCATATTTTAATATAATTTGTACATAATATCCACTTATTCATTCATTTGTGTTATTTAGACAAAACAACTGACTTCATTGTCAGGTTCATATATCTGTGGTCATTCTGTAACATGATAGTCTGTATACTGACCAACCAGAACAGTAACTTTCCAAACGGTGTCAGTTCATGATACAAACTATACAAATCTCCAGTAACTATATAAATAAATATTCGTATTGTAAATTTGTAGACATCTAAAATATATGGTTATGTAAAATTAATACATAATTGATGAATAATGAAAACAAATATAATAATTTAACTAACCATAGTAGCTAATTGTTGAAAAATTTGCCCCAGTTCAACAATTGTATGTTCAATACTTTGCATTGCATCTGATCGAGATTGTAAATAAGAATCAGTCTGATCAGGATTGATATATTTTTGAGCAAGTCCTAAATTTGAGTTTACAGGTAGAGTAGATAGTCCTAAATTCCCTAAACCATCCAGTCCATCATTTCCTTGTTTTTCACTGAGTAAAGCTTCTCTGGCACGTTCATCATCCTTTATAATTATGAAAAGAAAAAAACACCGAGGGTCACCACTATTCAGATGAATGCATAAGTTAAAAGTGTAATTCTATGTAGTTTTAACTAAATGTTCATTTATAAAACCTAATTAGTGAGATTATAACGATGACCGACCATTAAGCGACACTAGAATAGTAGTGTGCTACTGATGTCGACATATACTAGTAGTATGTATCATCAGTCGCAAGTAAAATACCTGGACGGAGAAGATTAAGAAGATCGAAGAAAAGAGAACGAGAACAGAGAATGATTGATGTGGAAACGAAAGAACAATGAAGTCTGAGACAATTGATTGGCATTTTGCAAATGAAGTATTTACTGTATGGTTCTCGGATTTTACTAAGATGTTCTGTAAATTTATATTGAAATACATTCAATTGTCCCCACTTGTGTTCACGTTCACTACAAAATGACCTTCGGAAGACTCACCTACTTACTAGGGGTCAAAAGAAGGTTATGGATTAGTAAGAGGAATTAGGATTACGGCTGAGAATTCACAGTTAGGGTTAACAATTAGCGTTGGGGTTTCATCACGAAATGCTCTTTAACCAAATAGATGAGCGAACTTAGCGACAAAATCCAAAACTAACCAGCTTTATTTTTGGTGTAACTTAGTAAAGTTTAGGTATGTATACTTAGCTTTGTGTAAATAGTAACAATACTAATCAACCGTCTAAACTTAAGTAGATAAAGTGGTTTTCGCACTTGTTAATATAGAAATAACTTAGCGAGAATGTGCACAATAAAAATACATTAGCATGTTTAATTTGGAAGTAGTACACGTTTCTTTGGCATTTGATCTACACGTTATTTCCATTTGTTATAATGGGACGGATATTGTAAAAGTTGGGACTGGTTTTATCGAATTACTATTAATCATAATTTTTTGTATAATTACTAAGTAACTAGATTACTTTTTCTATGTATTCCATTTATTATAAGCTCTTAGTTAAATGATTCGCCTTCCATATTTTGTTGCCAGTCTATTATTTAGTCTCCTTCACTAACAGACACTTTTGGTTTGTTCATGTATAATTGTGATTTTTTTAATTTATGGTGTGATGTGGTCGGATATATGCTTGAAATGTAATATAATGGAGGCTGACTACAGACTTTTGGGTTAAAGGGGTGGGGTTGAAAGAGAAGCTACAGAATCGTGGATCAATAAGAACCTATCAGTTGAACTAAGATTACTAGTGCTGGTTTTACGTGTAGTTGATCAAACAAGAGATACTAAGTTATAGGAATCGGGATACTGATTGGTGATTTTGCCACGTGATACTAGCAGCGGCATTCAAGACACAATATCTTTTTGAGCAGAATGACGATGTAAGCAAACACTAAGCCAAATAAGTAGGCTACTTACAGTCAACATTCTGTACCTTAAAACATTTGAATGGAGTTTTTGTATGGATTGAAATTACTTTTTAAATATTTTAAAAACTCCACGATAACTGATGCTAACAAACATATTATCAGTAAAGAAATATTAATGCTATCTATCTATCAATAAAAGATAAGTGCATACGATGCTTGCGACTTGGCACAAATGTGAATCACAGTAAGCACTGGAAATTTGTATTGACTAACACAAAAAAAGGAAAAGTAGTGGGGAGAAATTAACAGGGTACCAACATTGGTGGATTAAAGAGAATAATGAAGGAAACTGGTGATAGAAATTTCATAGTTTTTAAATTACGAACTAATATCTTATCTAACCCAGTATTGAAAATCTAGAATTAGTGGATGGCTGTTCCATCCAAGTATGGGACTCGTCAGAAGTGGGCGTCCATAACCCTACATTCAAGAATCAAAGCTTTAATCTTCGCAAATCCCCCCTACACTTATAGTAATCCTGTGCTCACCTGTGATTAACTTCAGCACGCAACTACTAGAGTTCTACTAAGAAGTCGTAACCCGTGGAGTTCAACCATATCAGGTGTAAAACAGTTATCCACTGAAGACAATGGGTGAGGGTTGGGAAATATCGTGAATTGATTGAAATTAAACATTAACATCACCAGATACCGGCTCAGTGGTCTAGACGTTAAGCGTTTGTGCGCGAAACTGAAGGCCCTGGGTCCGATTCCCGGGCGCGGGTTCGTGGGTGCGCACCGCAGAGGGTTTCCATACTTCAACAAAACAGCCATCCAATGCTGTTTTAGCTAAGATCAGTTTGCGACTTAAAAACTACAACATTTCCATGATCCCCACAAATCCCCCCATAGAAATTCATTAACAGGATAAAGCTTTGACTATTTCACGATCTAATCCAGCTAAAATGAGGATAAGTTGATTGATCCACTTTCTACAAATCAGAGCCGGTGGGCGAATCAAGATGTTAGAGGGTACATATATAAATTCAACTGTTCCGACTTCTGGATCTTTATTGTACAGGTTTATTGGGTTATGCATTGTTCGTTCTCAATTAATGTTTTGATTTGGGTAGAACCAAGTGAAATGTAATCAATGTATATCATACAGTAGAAGAACATAGAACAACAAAAGCAACAGTTGATATGACATTTAGGATTTAAAGGAAATTATAGGACCATGCTTACTTTTAACAAAACTGACGGGATAACAACATGTGGAGGTTTTACAGATGACATTGTTTCAGATGATTCATACTTGTCATCCAATGAACTATATTTGCTTTTACGAGCATTCTGTGACTTTATATTCTTAGAACGGTATTCTAACACTCCTCGAAATTGATCAGACATTTTAGCGAGATGAGTTTGCAAAACCATTAGTACGGAACGAGAGTGTGTAGATTGTTGTTTCCCAACAGATACCTGTAACAAAAAGAAACAGTACGACTTCATTAAAGGAACATCCTGATAATGAAAAAGAACCTAATTTTTGTTAACTCGATTATTATAATGGTTCTCATGCAGAATGAGATTTAAAAATGCATATAAAACTTAGATGATGTATGTTATAAATCTGTAGCATAGACTATTAGTCTATACATAGTATGATGAAATGGAAACTCGAGATTTAGTTTTATCTATGATTTTCATAAATTACCTAACTGAATCATACTTCAGTATGCACTAGTAACTCACTTTGAAACAAACCGCTAGAAGTCTTGGATGGACAAAGTGTGACCGAATAAAATGGTTACACATTGGATGGAAACGAATGTAGCGGAGTACATAATGGAGTTATAGTTGTAAGTATATTATGAGAGTATTGAAGTGTATGTATTATGTTGTTGGTAAATCTTATTTCTATATTTATAAGAGTTAGTAACTTGTCTTTTACATAACACTGTACATAATTCATCGACCAGAAACAAATTCACTTATTCGACTTTGTGACGGAGTTCGAACTCGCGACCAAGTGACTGAAAGTTAGTAACTTCATTGATTAAACCACTGATACAAAAGGTAAGGAACTTATATATAATTTCTAATTAGTATTATGTGAACAGATGTAGAAGATGATAAACCAATCAACGATGTTTCCTTCAAGTTTCATATCGTTTATAAAACAACACATTGGAGCATGAAGGCCTATTGTTGAAGCTATGTTGATTACCACTTTGGATGAAGTTAAGAAACAGACGTATAATATGTATTTTAAATGTGATATAGGTGGTTTAATTCTTCTATTTTTAAAATATATAGTACTTGAAAACTTTAGTCTTCTAAATATAAAACCAAAAAGGAATGGTGCGTTTATCTGGTACGTAATTAACATCAAAAACAACGCTATGAAAATTTTTACTATACAGAGTGAATGTCGATTTTAAGTCAATGAATATGAGTACTTGAAATTGTTAACAAGCTCCATGTTGGTACTCCTCTTTTTGTGACAATCCAGTCAGTCAGTTGCAACGTAAAACCTGTTATGTATGTACATCGGTTCAAGTTGCCTGTTGTGTCCCGATAAGAATAATGAATGGTAATTTTTGGGATCCAGTTATGGACCAATATTATGAGTATATTTTTATCGTATAATTGTTATGCAACTAAACTGTTCATATTCACACCCCTCTTATTATGAGTTTTATGTTGACCTATGAACTACTATTGTACGATTTACCATTCATGGATTATTCCCTATCTGTTAATCGCTACCTCCCTCATTCACAGCCACTTCTGGCTAATCATTGTACAAATGTTATTTTCTATTTTATTGGTACGTTGTGGTCGGGTTGATTGGTATATAAACAGAGTATGCTTGAAATACAATGATTCATATCTCAGAGGCTGAGACTTGCGTTCTGGACTCAACTGGCTGGGCTAGGCAGGGAAGCAGGGCCAATCAGAACTCTAGGTCGTTCTTGCGTGTTTACGTGTCATTGATCCGATCGATAAGTACGCTTCGCTCTAATCCACAGTCACAAGGACACAACAATTGGCACGGGGTGAAAATCGATCCAAGTTCAAGTCAGAACATTGCCACACTTCGTTAGCATAGAGAGACGAAATTCTTAGGCAAAATGCCACAATAGTAGAGGTAATAACAGTATCAGTGGTTACAGAAAAGGCTAGGCATTGAAGATGCAACTCAAGAAAGCATACATTAATGAAACATTAATTATCCAGAAGCTTAGAATTTGGAGGAAGACAAATAATGCATGCATCTGTACCAATGCAAACGATTTTGAGTCATGTCATTAAAAGTCTCTAACCATAGGTTACGATAACCACGCGGACCGTGACCAGGGAGTCTACAACTGTTGACATGGCTCAATACCATTGTCAATGGCTCCATGGACTGATACCACAACAACTACTTACAGTAAAACTGTGTCACAAATATTGTGTTACGAGCGATAAAACCAAAATACGTCTTTGTCAACTAAATCCCTAGGAAAGACCTATTCATGAAAATAAACTTGGTTCAACTCACCTGAGATTTCGAAATTTCTTGTAAATTAGCAATCCTATTGTTTAGGTTCGCTATAGATTCTTTTATAACATATGTCAAGTGTTGAATTTCCGAACTATGATCATCGAACAGCGTTTGCTTTCGAGCTAATGCATTCAACTGTTCCAATTTAGAAAATGTATTTGTTAGATCTTGACTAATAACTGAAGCCGCTTTCGTAAACTGCGAACGCTGACTAAGAGCAGCAGATTTTTTATTAGAGTGATCTTGATTCTTGATAGATCCATTTAGAACATTAATTTTGTGTGAAATATTGTTTTCAAATACGGAATCATTAGAATTAGCCTTAGGCATACCCAAAGATGTGTGGTCCATTACGTGATTTCCAAGTGAATTAGAAGATAATTCATCTTGACGCTTAAAGTCACTCAATTTAGAACGACTAAGTTGAACGGAACGTATAAAATCGGAAGTACGATCAACTGCTGAACACATCTGAAATAGATGATATAGCTATTTTTAAGAAAACGGAATTGTCGAAAACAAAGTAATAAATCATTTATGTTCAATAATTGATCACAAGCTGTCAAAACCATTAATTAGAGCACAAAATATTGTTATAGCTCAGCAAATTGAACAGCATCACGTACATTGATGAGCAGCTCAATATGCTTCACCAAAGGAACTTGGAAACATTTTCCGTAAGACAAAAAGAATAGGAGAGAGATTTGCATAATTGGACAAGGATGAGAGTAAATCTTAACATAAAGAACCAAAAACATTTGGGTCATAGCCCTATAACAGCTCAGAAAAAAGTATGAATTCGAGCTTACTAAAGCCTATAGAATACCCAAAACGCCTATTTTCCTACGTAAACAGTAAGACAGAGGAGAGTGCGGCATTTTGGAATTGCATGGAAATGGGTCAACAATATCATTAAGAGATTACTCACAAACCTATTTATTCAAACACAAACATCTTGGTACTATACGGAACTAAAAAGTGCCTCACGCAAATAAATTCATACTATTGTGAAGAAATAAGGAGGAGAACGATAGCGCATTCAACAAATAAATGAACAGAAACTGTATTTAATAAGACGATACAGTTCAGTTGAAGATATAACCAAGAAAAACTTTTTTCGATTAGGATGTTTATCTCACTTTGATGAGGAGTATGATAGAAAGCTACAACAAGATCACCACCAGTTTTTATTCTGAATCAAATCTAAAAACATCTCAGACCATTGAGCTGCACTATCTCTAGAACGGTGGTTAAGGAGTTAGAATAAACCGACAAATGACAGTCCTATACAGCTATTCCTTCATAACATATAAACTGATTGCCTTCCTCCTTCTTCACTAAGTCTCAGAATTGCCAAATAATGTCCAATGAGGATATATCTGAAAAAATGTTAGTGGAAGGAGGCCATCAAAGTCGGTGTTGAAAAATAGTAACACTAATTCAATTATCGTCATCGTGTCCGAACACATTGCCAGACCTCAGTAATACCAACATGGTGTTATTACTAGGTGTGAACACTCAGGCACAGCTGTGATCAAACATAGGGAATCGCCAAGCATCTTTAGCTTGGAGGCCAAGTGTAATAATCATATAGAAGAGCTGCTCTTGCTGACGAGATGTAAACTGGACGTTTTACAGTCAGATTATTATGACGGGATGAACAACAGTCCCAATTGCAATAAAATTCTCTGACCTTTAATAAACGTAGATCGATTTTATTTACTAAAGCACCACTAACACTTACACAACTAACAAAATATGAAAATTCTCCAACCATTTCTGGTGATACATCAAAAAGACTGAGTGCATGCACCGGCTCATATTCGTCTTGCAGCAGTAATTTGAATCTTAAAGATGCAAAGTACATGCCATACTTACGAATAATTCCCAGTTGGTCCTACAACTGTTTTATAAACGTGTTTGCAGTAGAGACATGTTAGTCACAGGGACAATCAAATCATATTAAATAAATTCTGGATGTTACAATTCAAGAACTAAATGTAATTAGGCTACTAAGTTAGCTTGTTGTGACGAAATCAACACGATCAGGCAAAATATATAGTAGGTCACTCACATTTTTTATCGCAAACCCTTTAGGTAAATACTTTAATCGTTCGGTAACCCAAGGTAAGTTATCAAGCGAGTGGAAGAACACCGTTGTAAATTATGTTTTCAGAGCAGTCAGGATGGATAAGCCTAGAAATTATCGTTTTGTACGCTTAACTAGAACAGCTGTCTAAATTTTAGATTATTCTGGAGGAATTATTTACATATCTAGATGAAAACCTGATACTTTTCACAAAGCAACATCCCGACCGTAGCTGCTACCTTGACGTGGTGTAGGGTTTGCTTAACGTGATGACCCAACCTAGTTATATTGGCTGGAACATATGTTCCTTTATGTTCTACAATACCAGGCAGGTCGATTGGAGACTAAAAGCAGCAATCCAAGGTCTAAGGGCGAAATCGTACTACTGACTGTAGAGGGGTGTGTTGGAGTGATCCAGAAAATTGCTTGCAAAGGACAAGCAAGTATCAGGAATCATGAGGAAGCGCTTCGCCCAATCACCGTTCACTTGAAGTCTTAGCCAAAAATATCACGGAAGCGAAACGTCACATGTAGAGGCTCTGATTGGCTGGCCGCTACACTGCTATGTTTAGTAGCATTGCAGAATCTTCTAGCAACCCAAGGACATTTAAAATATTATAAAAGTCCTGTATTTTCTGTATTAAATTGAACCTAGGAGTAAACTACTCCTTGCATACTTTGAGTCTTCTCTCTCGTGTTCGAGTCGCTGTATAGTTCTAGCTTGGGGGTTACAGAATAGCTTAGGAGACGAATATAGCGTTCGATCCGCAAGACTTATCAGGGTGTGACAGCAGTAAGGTGTTTCCCTCGGGCAACCAGCATCACAGTACCACAGCCAAGTTAATCCTCTGAATTCAGAAGCTACCATATGACGAGAGATTAGCTAAAATAAACCTATTCCTCTTATTATATGGAAGTGGAAGTAACCCAATTATCAGATAGTAACTTTGATCCCAACGTCATCTTTTTGTCATCTAGAACCGAAAATTTACAAGAACACTCCGGAAAGACTACTGGGCAACTAAGTACAGACTTTCCCAGTGAGCCATCAACCAGAACTCAGCATGTGGTCATAGCTATTGCCGTAGTATTGTCGTAGTTTGGTCAACTGAATAACTTTCCATCGCTCAAACTTACGCAGACATTAGTCTTTGAGTGCCCTTAAAAAGAACAGTGGTATCCCACATATTGAATCCATCTTTTGATTTCGATCAGGTTAACACACTGAAAATACTATTGCATTTTGCTTTAATTAAATCCTACTCAGTCAACGCACCATCTTTTAAAAAACTGTCCGGATATGTTGAGAGATGGTTCGAACCAAATGTTTCCCAATGTTTGTTGTTGTTACCCGATTTAAGATGTTATGCAGATTGATGGAAGAAATGGTTAGTATCCCGGATTTCATACAAATTTCACACCATTAACATATAAAACGCACGGTAAGACAGAGTGAGTATGGCTCTGCTCATGGCGTTTAGATGCATACTACCTGTGATCAGGTGCGATTTCGCCTATTAACGTTGCCCAAAAGCATATTATAAAAGAGTATGTTACAGTTGATAACCATGAGACAAGTGAAAAGACATTTTGTTGACACACAAACTGAAATGTATATCATGAGTTTAAATACAACTGGAAAGAGAAAACACCTACGCGGACCAGTGTCCCAAAAGATTGCCTATGAGCAAATAACATTCCCGGAAAGTAGGCTATAATTTTTCTGTTCACTCAAGGAAGGAATAAGAGTAAATGGGACAATATCTGAATATAAACATGCAAAAAGAAGTGTCACGAGGCACAATTTTAGGTCTTGAACTGTTCCTACTCTAAGTTAATAGATTTCTGAGGCTTCCAGGCCACCACCACTTATTTTCAGATGTAAACGTTTGCAGAGGAATGAGTACAGATGATGACAGGCTAACGCATGTCTTGGTAAATATTTTGATACTTTAGCGCATTTAACGGGCAGGTACTAATTAAGTGTTAGGTCATCCCAATTTCTTCTACAATGATGGATTAAAATACAGATCTTTTATTCCTTGTCATAGGACGTGAAACTCTGTACCACCATTCTGAGCCTGAAATGGCGATTTGGATACCAACGTGTCTTTATTTTCTCTATGACTAAACATTTTTGAAGTCGTTACAAGAAGTTTCATAAAAAACACTCAAACAAACTTAGGGTGAAATTCCTTCCTTTCATCCGAGTGGTCAATAAATGGAATACCTTACTCGGAGAAGCAGTAAGTTTCACCAGTGAACGCCTCAATGTGGAAACTAGATCTTCGAAAAGACATACAAGGATCAAAGCAAGTCAACTAATCTACTATCTTTACCACTGAAGACTTCCATCTCTCTTGAACCAAAATTGACAAGTATCTCGGGAGTGAAAAATAACGTTTGAAAAAGCCAGGTGGTCCTAAGATTGCTACACACTGTGTCTCAGCTAACGTTGGAGTTAATAAGAAAACCGTCTACATACGTGTATCCGTATGAGTTTTTAAGGAATGGCGAACAGTTCGAACCCAATAACCCTGTATGTCCAAACAAAAAAGAATGCGTTGCAGACGACACATGAATTGTACTACACTTATTGACGAACTAACAACTAAGATTTCACTGAAAAATTATCCACTTAGAGGACATAACTGATCATTCCAGAATTACTTGTCTATCAGTCGGCTAAAACGTAGGACCAGGAACATATATGCATCAGTCCAGGTTACCACACCTCATTAGCACAACAAGATGAACACCGAATTCAAATAGTCACGTCAATGGTAGTAATATATAAAAGAAAGATTGTGCATAAGGATATAGTACAAGAATAAAGAATTAGTTGGTAGGAAGAAAGATATAAAGCAATTTTAATCTCATGGTTTAAGGGAAGACATAGAGTGTATACACCCAATCCATTGTGATTGATTCTGAGTCATGTCACACAGTCTCCAAACATTGGCTACGATAGTCGAATGAACCCTGACAGAATAGTTTGCATCTACCAACATGACTCAGACCAGAAGTTAGTGACTTAGAAATGTACGTAACAGGTTACTTTAGCACATTCATTTAACACATAAATACATTAATAAATAGAATCATCAGGTTTCAGCTAGTGAAATTTTATTTTCCATGATGTCGTACAATCGTATCTATAGTTAATTTTTCCACATAGAAATCTATGATAAAGTCCAAAAATTTTGGATCATTCAACAATGTTACCAAATATAATTATCAGAGTGCAACGGTGCCCTGATGATTGAAGGTATGCCATAGTAATGAGTATAAATTAAAATGAAGCCTAAACCAGATAGTTTCTTACTGATTGCCATCATTCACCCAGCAATATCTTCAATTATCGAATATGAGTTGCGTAATAGTCACTAAGATAACAAATAAGTAGTGACTGGTAGAAATGTAGAAGAAAACTGTCTGTTCGATGAATACGCACAAAACGGAGAATGACCGGATTATTTAAAATAACCTCGAAAATAGAAAGGTATCCTAAGACGATTATAAAATAAGGAGTTGACCTTGCATTACTGTAACACACAAAACAAACTTGAAGTGGAGAGCTGAATAAAGCTTCTAACATAAGCAATTCTCTAGACTGAGCCCTCTTTGAGACAGTTCTTTGAGCTTTGTAGATGATCTTGACATCCAATGAATACCGTAAATCACTGGGCAGCTTTCCCTGCCCAGTATTGAACTTATATTCAGTGCGCATTCATGACCCTAAAGTGACTTCTAGAACCGGTTTTCATGGGATTTAAGTTCACTAAAAACTTGTCTGAAGTGCGACGAATAAGAAACATTGGAAGACTAAAATACCGTAACACTTACGGGGATGATAAACAAAGTAGGGATGTTTCACTCACAATTACGTTCTAGGAAGGATAGGTACAACGTAGTAGCGCACTATTCCAAAACTACCACAATAATCAAAATATTAAAGTACAATCATTGTCAAGAAAGAATAACTAATTATTAGTTCCTCGTGATATGTGTACGTGTTTAATTCTTTCAGTTATGGAAAAGTGAAATTCTTGTTCCTATCCATTAAGAACCAAAAAGAAATAAAAACTAATTGATAATGAAATGAATGGTTTTCGAAAACCAATTGTAGTCCACCTCAGTACCATTGAAAATAAAATAAACTCCTGTTCTCCCTTTAATTAAGTCATTAAAAATTTCCACTGCTGTCACTCTCAACAGTTAGCTCCAGACTTTGCAGCCTCTTCACAAAAGGATTCGTATGCTGACGATGTCTATATATGGAGAGCGATACGAAATAAGGGTGATAGCACAGAACTCCAAAATGCCCTGGAGAAATTATCCGAACGGTTTAAACTTGGAAGTTGCCAATAAATATTTCCAAGTGTATTGTGATGCATATCGGTCATCAAGGTACAGATACATACACGATGAATAACACTGAGCTACCGTTTGTCCAGACATACAATGACTTAAGAGTCATCGTTAGCGAAGACTTAAAGACTACTGCACACTGCCGTGCAATAGCCCCCAAAGGTTTTGGAACTTTATGGTCAATACTTAGGGCTTTTAGTCATGTCAACGCTGAAACGTTTTTGACTTTGTATGCAGTGTTCGTACGTCCTAAACTTGAGTACTGCATACAAGCGGCTAGCCCCTTGTAGATTACCAACGCAGATGATCTACTTCGAATGATTGGAGGCCTACTCGAGTTAGACGGGAATGGTGTGACGAACCACCTAGTGACGAAGTCACACCTGTTGATCAGAACCTTATGTGGACTATCCCATTGACGTATAAAGCACTATAGACGCTTTGAAGACTGTACACCACAGAGGACGTTATTACAGAAATATATTAGTTAAAGTAGATGTAGGCGAAAGTAAGATGACTGCCGCATAGGCCAGTCCATGGCGTACGATTAACTGATGCGCGTTGGTTATAGTTGACCTTGACAGGGACCGATGATCGGTTCGATATTCAGTGACCCAACCGCCGGATGATTTGGCTAGGGCCTAGTGACATTTCTCTGGCCCTACACCCTGCTTAAAAAAGACAACGAGCTTCTGGAAAAGTTCAGAGCACAGCAAATAAACTGATTCCCCGAATAGCGAAGCTTCCGTATGATGCTTGACTGGCCAAGCTAAACCTTTTCCCGTTGTCATATCGCAGAACTAGAGGCGACTTGATTACAGTCTTCGAATTAATTAGTGATAAATTTGCACCTGATACGGCCTCATTTTTCTTGTCTTCCAAAACAGAGAATTTACGAGGACACTCCGAAAATGTTCACAAGCCCAGGACAAATTACTTGTCAGCTGACTATCGACTTTCCATCGAATCATCAACGAGTGAAATTCATTACCTAGGCACGTGTTTGAGGATCCATTCGTCGACTCTTTCAAAAGAAAGTTGGATCAACTGAGGAACAACCATTGCCAGGACTAACAAAGGCCACCAAGCCTCCTGTCCTTTCTACTCTTCAGTGAAGTTCACTAAGAGTAATTTAGTATTGAAGTATACTGATTGCTCTTTGGAAGAAGCGATGTTATGCACAACATAATGCACCATGATCATTGCCTTTGTTGTGATGGGAACTGGTTGCATTTTACACAATACTTCATAACAACACGCGCGCGCTACGGACTGGACGTTACTTTCAGGCCGAGGTTTTTAGTTTTATTTTTCTAGGATTCTCGCAGAGCTGGATGAATTATTTTTTCTTGGAATTATAGAAGTTAACTCTATTCTTGAATATTAACATATAAACTGTGAATTTCATGCCATATGATAAGTTCTGAGTTTAACTTGCGGTATTTATGACCATATTCATACAATAATTTATAATAATCTAATTACATATATTCATTTTGACTATACGATCAAACTATACTCTGGCACTTTGAAACCATATATAATCATATTTGACGAAGAGTTGTATTTCATATCTGTATTCTATTTCTTAATGAATATATGGTTATATCGTATTTGAATACTTTAACCCACGTACTTTATGTATCTACAGGATCTATTCAAACCTCTACCTAATATCAAGAAATATATATAACCGTGTATGTTAAAGGACTGTATTCACTATTTTATGAACTATCATTTAAATCGTATTTGTATACTATAAATCATTTAATTTTCGAAGCTACCTGTCCAACTCGGTAAGTCTGTCATAGTTTTTTTTTTTGACAGTATTTTTTTTTCAAAAAAGCTGTTTCATATATTTGTTCAAGAAGCAACATAATAATCTTAGACGGTAATAATCTTCTAAACTACTTGTCTCTGCACCTCCCAATTTTCACTAATACGGACTTTCAGTTTATATATGTATCACGTACCGTACTTTTTTGATTGTTTGTTACTAATTATTGACATTTCTAAATTACTTTACCATATAAGGCTATCTTTCATGTCATATGTGTTAAAATTTATACAACTTGCTCCTTTATATTCTATCTTGCCTCCACACAGATACTGACATAAATACTTCATCTCCACTACTATCTTCCTGCCATTGTCATCTGTTTTTAACACCACTAATCCTCACGATACATTGACCCTTGGTTAAAACATAGATTTTGATTTTTAGACTAACTTGAGCCCTCGGAATTGATTTTTTTCACCCCTTTCTATTTCCAACATTCTGTTCAATCCACTTGCTACACGACACTTTCTTATCATGCCACAAAAGAAAATGAAGACCCCTGCTTCTAGGCGTCCAGCCAAACGTAGGAAAACGACACAATTTAACACCACTACTGACACGATTTCCAACAGTTTCAACGAGACGAGCCACTCCGTTCATCTGGAAGCAGACAAGCTTTTACCAGTTGTCTCCATTCCAGACATGTTGAAAACTCTGATGGTAAACAGTGATGATAATCGCAACTGCAACCATATGGATGCTATAAAAAAGTTGCAAGTAGACATGAACATTCTCAACCCGCTTAAATATCTCATCAACCCCAACCTCACAGAGACTCCAGATCAAATGAATGACATAAATATTTTCCTAGATCGTGTTGCATCAGAAGTATTTGAAAGAATAAGACGATCTAGTAATGCAATTGTGTTTAATATACCGGATACACATGCCCTTAAAAATATCAAATCTAGTCTGCTTAGAGCCAGCAATATGACACACGTACCATGTGTATGCACAAGATTAAAAAGAAGTCATCCTGGTATGCACTCACCGATCTTGTTCAAATTCAACTCATCTGTAGACGCCAGTGAATTTTTAAATTCCTACAATTCATTGAGACAAAAACAGATTTTCAAGGATATTAAGACTCTTCCGGATAAAACACCATGCCAGCGAAAAGCAGGAAGAGATAACTACCGACCACCAGCGTCAAACTCTCAAACGCATCGTAATCCTAATGGTCGTAAAGTTAAGTCCGATTCTAAGGGGACGTCTAGCTTAACAATTTCGCCGTCACCGAAAAACTCTTCTGAATCTCCTGAAGTTCAAAACCCAGAAGAAAGTAATCCCGATGTAGGTGGTGTCCATCCTCTTGAGAATGTTGACTTAGATTCAACCCGAAGTAGTTGTGCTGATGAAGAATGGGATAACACAACCCAAACCCCTGTTAGTGCAACACCCAGTTACAGTAACTGTGCAACGGATAACAGGAAAACTAATCATAACATCCATATAACTGACCACGCACTTAACGTTGATATATTCGAACCTCGCAAACCATCGCAAGTATGTTTAACAGTACACAATCCCCTCCAACATATGAAGAAGCCGAAATCAACCACAACCCTTGGAAATAAACGTCTTAAACACGTTACCCATACGTCAGGTATAAATAGTTATCTGAATTGTAATTGGCCACTTGGTCAAAACCACAGACCTGATAGCCTTCTTGGTCCGGCTCCCAATATGTACACTATGCCCTTATCAGATGTTAGATCCAACAGCAATGAGAAAACTTTTTTTGTAATTCCGCCGGCTTTCCTGCCGGCAACGGTAAACATATTTCACATGATAACAAAGTGGTTGAATCTATTTCCCCTCGCAACACAACTCTCACCTTAGCTAATCCTATGAGTATTCATGGAACTACCAATTGCGATTTATACTCCAACCTGCTTCACTATGATGACTCTGAGTTTCTTATTCTTTCGTTCAATGCCCGCTCTCTGTCTAATAAAATTATTCATCTTAAAACTCTTTTATTCCTTGTAAATCCAACCATTGTACTTATTACGGAAACGTGGTGTAATTCATCTATATCCGATCATTCCTTGAATGTAGATAACTACGTTTTCTTTAGAACCGATAGATGTTATGGAATAGGAGGCGGTACAATTATCTATGTTCGTTCAGACATTCAAGCGTGCAAATTTGAGGACAAATCCCTTGATGCTATAGAAGACTCCACTTGGGTTACTGTAAACTGTGGATCCCAAAATTATTTACTGGTGGGATGCATATACAGACCACCTCATGCGGATACTAAGTTTGACAGATTACTAACAAACATATTTTCCATTGCTTCGCATCAACCTCATACTTTTAAAATCATCGGAGGTGATTTTAATCTGCCAAAAATTACATGGGGCTTGACTCCGGTGCCAGGTCGATATAACAAGCTAGTTGAAACATTAGAAATTTGTGGATGGGTTCAACAGGTCCGAAAACCAACCAGGGGGAATAATACACTTGATTTAATGTTCACAATCAACATAGACTCTATCTCAGTGCATACCAGTCATGAGTTTTTTATGAGTGACCACAGAGTTGTATTGAGTATTATTCACTCTTTAAACGCCATACAATTGAACTCTAAAACTTCAACGACGTACCAGAGCAGATATTTTGATCAACAAACATGGAAACGGACTGAAACTCTCATTCGATGTTTACCATGGAAAACTTATTTTACCACAAATAATGTTGACATTGCGCTTTCCAA